CCGAAGAAGTGGGCTGTAGTCCACGAAAGCTTATGCTCTAATAAATTTGTTAGTCTCTAAGGTGCCACAAGTACTCCTGTTCTTCTTTTTGTATATACACTGTGAGAAATGCATTTAGTCTATCATTCAGTAGCTTACTTTGCACTAATGAAAAATTCACGGTATTTGTAGTCTTATAAACTGAACTGTTGAGTATTTCCTTGAGGTCCCCAAGCTGGGGGGTGTGGTGGTATGTTGAGGGGGGGGGGCACAGGGCCAGGAGCAGAGCTGGGGGCCACTGCCCACCCCAAACATACCTCTGTGCCCCCCCCTCCCCCAGGGAGCGCACCCCACAGTTTGGGGACCTCTGCTCTATATTCTGCTTCTCTGAGTGTAGTTTCAGTTATGTTTAAAGGGCTCCAAACAGGAATTAGGACCCCCCTTGTACAAGCCACTGTAGTCACCTAGGTGATCAGGTATTTACGATTGTGCCACTAGGGGAAGCAGTCTACGCTTGTAGAAGATTTTATGTATAGCGACGATCATCTTGTAAAAGATTCATAAGGCTTGTTTTGATTATACTTTTTCAGAATTATTGTAACTAAAAATTCAAGTAGTATCCCTAGGTTGCACAAAAACTTCCCTATATTGAAAAATAGTGTCATTTACATAGGGTAAAATGGCCTGTCAGAGCATTAAAAGGAAAATCAGATTACAGATAAGACTACAAGAGTTAGGATTGCTTCAGAGAAAAGGCTAAAAAATAATAGGTCATATTGTTCATTCCCATAATATGCATGTTATGGACAAGTAGTCATAAGACCATAGTTAAAGTTGCAACAGAGACTTCAATTTTCACAGGGAGTAAAGTGTAAATATTTCTTTTATATTTAGAAATTCAAGAAAATGAACAATGTAGTGTCTCTGGATAGAGTTTGTTTTTTTTCAATAATTTATGTGAGTTTCCTTATTTGTATGGGTAGGAAAAATCTTTTATATTAAGCTTAACAGATTTGGCCTAATTGTTCTCATAGGAAGCTGTTTCTGTGATTTGCTGATTCATAGATTCCAAGCCCAGATATGACCATTGTGATCATCTAGTCTGATCTAATTGATAGTCATAGTCACAATCTCAGGCCTACCTCATGTATGTTAATCAGTTACATTTTATTATTGTAACAGGTTCTGAAATGGCTTCACATACTTACTTTAGTTTGAGAAAGCATTCTCTAAAATGCCCTTTTCAAAACAGACTTGTTTGGTAAAGGCAAAATAGGATTGTATGATGGAGTTTCATCTTGCTGGAGTTATTTCGGTCTCTGTGTGCTCTAAGCTGATAAAATGCATTATGGACTTGCAGAATTACCAGTGTATAACTACTTTCTTTTTATTTTTAGGTGCCTTCACTTGATGAAATTGTTGTCTGATTGACCTTCTCACGCCTTTGATCTTCTTAGTGGACAGTCTATTCAGCCATGTCGTACAGTACAGGCATTGTGGGGGATCCTACCCAGCTAGCTCAACATATAACTTCTAATATCCAGAAGATCACCCAATGCAGTAAGTTTAATTAATACACATTCTTTTAAACTAACCTATTAAAAATACTTCCATGCCTGTAGCTATGCAACAAAATTGTGTTGATGTTAAAGGAACGCTATCAGTTAGAGAATCACATTTCTGTGTAACTTTGTACCTCCTGTGCTTGCACATAACACTTTTTAAATTACAATAATAAATTATCATTTTTGTTTATGGTGGGTTTTGTTTTTGTTTTTAGTTTGCATACTTCATACATCTGACAACACTTATTTTTTGTCAATTCATTGTACATTTTCTCCCTTCCTGAAAGATCCCTATAAGTGTCATCAGGGGAAAAGAAAGATGCTACACACTTTAAAAGTTGGGGGCATACTATTTAAAGGGTACTCTACATATTTGGATTAAAAATAAATTAGAACAGTCAGTTTAATGGTATTAAACCACACATGCAATGTGTGTGTGTGTGTGCGGGGGGGGGGTGTCAAGCTTTTAAAAATGCCTTTATGTGCTAACTCTTGATATTGACTCAATAAGAGTCTGCTGTTTCAGTTTTTGTCTCGGGAAAGAGGCCATCAACAAAAGTACCAGCTTGTGATAGTGGCTTTTGTGATAAGCACCACCGCTCACTAGGATTACCAACTCATTTCATGTAGGTCATCACCTTTTAGCCACTCTGGCGTGTCAGGCAACCTAAAAGTGGCAGAGAAAGGGGGAGTGATCTTTTTCACCCACTCTGTATTACCATTACAAAACTCTAAATCATCAGCACCTCTGTCCTTGCTTTTTTTTCCATGTAAAGAGCCTAGTTTATATTAAACATAAAATTATGTGAAAGTAGCCTTTTGAGTTACTATTTCAAATATAGAATTCATCTTTCCCCTCCTATAACTTGCATTTTATTATTTATTTTTGTTCCATGGAGGGACAGCTATTCCCAAGATGAAACTCTGTATGTTGGGCTTTAGCCTGGAGCAGATTTTTATGACAGAATAAAATAATCCCCTAGAAACAGTTTCTAGCTCACAGACTCTTAAATGGTTGTAATGGTAATGGCAGTAACAAGTGAGCTTGTAATACAGACAATGATCTAATACGGGTGACTTGTTTTTAAAAACGAGAGAAAAAAAGGAAGAAAGTTAAATTCTTCCTTTTGTTTTCAAACCACAGATCTGTAAAACATACTTTACTCCCATAAATAACTCAAGCAGTTTTTCAGGTGCTTCCTCACATACAGCAACCAACACTTCCGACCCTCTATAAAGCAGAAAATATTATTGTAGAGTAACCCTCCTGGTGAAGTTGCTGCTGATGGTGGAAATTAAAGCACTAACACTATGACCAAAACTTGCAAATATAGTTGCTTATGGCTATACTTAGCGAACCTTTAAAAAAAAAAAAGTAGGTTTGAGATGTTTGTTTCCTGAGGTGCTATACACCTATCGTTCTCATTGTGACTTCAGGGAATTGTGTCCTGTATGGGGGGGGAAAGGATGCGAGGGAAATGAAGCCCTGGTTCTTTGGTTAGCCTTGTAACTAAGTACTTGATGGTAAGTTAAAATTTTTGGTGGCTAGCCTGAGGGTGGGAAAACAATAAAAGTGAGAACCGCTTTGTTGCTGGAGTAACTATCTGTGTGGAAGTAGCTGTGAGGAATCCGTTTGTTCTTCCACACCAGCACATAACTTCCCTCAGTATTATATTGAGGGAAGTTCTGGGTGTGTAGGGAGAAGAATAGTTCAGTCTGAGGCAAATAATTGTGTAGGCAAGGTATTTCTGAAAATCCATAGGACCAGGTTCTTCTGCTCCTCTTCACATTGAATAGCTCTTTACTAGGAGTCGAGACACTAGGTGAAATCCTGGCCCCAGTGAAGTCAATGGGAGTTTTCCCTTTAACTTCAGTGGGGCCAGAATTTTACCTCGATCTCAGTAGGGCTACATATACTACTCACCATGAGTAAGGATGGTAGTTATGGTTCAATTCTGGATAGAAGGGTATTTTTTGTTTTGTTTGTGTGGGCATGTGCTGCTGGGCAGTTTAAATTAAAAGTGGTTGAGATTTGTCCCTACTCTTTTCTTCAAAGAGTTATGTGAATCACATAGCTCAAACTAAGTGTAAGTCTGTAGCTTACTGGCCTTACAAATAAACCACAGCATCAAGATATTTTTAATTCATCAGTGTTTACTAAAGGAACAGCCATTTTAAAACACCAGTGGCTTCAGAGATCACACATGCTCAATTACATGCTAATTGAATGACTGCTTTAGTGAATCTGGACTGAAATCTCTTAATCCATTCAGAAAACAAAGTTAGAAAATATTCCCTGTTGATTTAAGTTTTTCTTATTGACTTCTTTGCTTATGACAAGATGAGCTCTATCTTATTCATTCTTCATTGCATATGTTGGAGGGCAACAAAAATCATATTGTTGTACTGTGTAACACCTTGCCTCATATTTAAAGAACCATTTCACAAAACTATCCTCAGCCAAATTTTGGGATGTTGGGATAAATAGGGGGCTGGAGACAGGATAGGGAACGAGCCTGAATGTGTTGTGTGTGGGTGCATATAGAGTTTATTTTGGGGGCTAGAAGGGGAGATTTTGGCACTACTTAGTCGTGGAAAATTCAATACTTGTAGAGTGTTATTTGTATAACTATTGTAACTGAAAGGGATGGGGAGAATTTTTTGTATAGTACTGAATTCTAAATCACAAAAACAAGATGTGCAAAAATTCTGTGCCGGTCTGCTGCGTTATCACATACAAGGGCTTGAGTCTTTCTAATTTTGTATTTATTTTTACTAAGGTCATTTTGTTACATTAGAAGTATGTCTATTGAGAGAAAAATATTAGGTCTTCACTTTCTCACTCTCGCAGAAGAACCCTCTATGATGGACTAAAGAAATAAAGAGATTATGACACCACAAGAAACTGAAATCTGAGCAACTGAAAGAGAGTCTGTTTAAAACTCTTGCTTGTTTATCTGTTGAAGTAAAATTTTTGACAAATGTGAGAACGAGATAAAATCAGATTTTTTTTTTCTGTTAGAGGAATAACACCCCCATCTCTTCAGTTGGGGTCTGAAAAAAGCTCCCATTCCATTTCTGGAGTCTCTAGCCAAAAAAATGAACTGTAGGAAAATAGTTTAAAAAAATTTAGGTTAAAAAATAAATATCCAAGCCTTTATGGGGGGAGGGTGAGGGTGTGGGTGTGTGTGTGTGTGTGTATAGAAGTAGAAAAGTCACATACATAGTACTTTTTTCTTTTTTTTAAACGGGCTACCTCCATGATAACAAATTCATGTTACTGTCAGGTGTTGGATTGACAGTGCAGGGTTCTCCAGTCTTCCATCTGAGCACAGAACTGGTAATCATAGCCAAGAGCAGCGAAAGCCATCACCACCCTGAGACACCACTGTGCTTTGCCCATCTCCTGCAGCAACCACCTCTAGGCTTGAGGAAGTAATGCAGTCTGCGTGCTTGCTTACCTCTTAGCCTCTCTGCATTCGTTACCTAAAAATCATTATTATTTATAGATAACTACCGACATAGCTAGTTATGAACAAATGATGTAGAGCGGGAAGGTTTTATATTCATTACCAAACCCTGTACCATACAATCCTTCTAATGTCTTGGTTTCAAAATAAGTGACAGTTGTATGCAAATTGATAGTGTTGCCTCTCACAGCGACTGTAACTCTTCCAGATCTATACAGTATTATAGAAAAATGCTGTACTTTGGCTGCAACTAGATGGACACTTACACAGTTTGTTTTTTCAATCAGGGCATATTTAGTATGTATGTACATGCATGCACACACAAAAGGGGAAAAGCTTTTTAAAATGTTCTGTGTAGCATCCCTTCCTCATTTGTACTACCCTTGTCCCTTTTCCACATTTTGTTAATTTAAGTTGCAAGCTCTTTTTGGCCATTCTTCTTACATGTCTGTAAAGCACCTAGCATTTTGGACATTAAATATATTTATTTTTTATAAGTATACTATTTCATTTTATTTTAAAATATTGTGTTTAAACTTTTAAGTGATGCTTTCTTCTGTGTGACAACTAATAGAATGTAGTGTCCTTTTATAAAATATTAACACTAATACCATAGGGCCAGACTGTGGCCTAACTTGGATGGTGGTAAACGCATAGAAAGGACAGCAGCCTCCATTGGGAGGTAGTTATTTCCACCCCTTGTGGGAGAGGGCAGGACAGGGTAGAATGGGAGTGGAGCTGCCATCACCCAATTGAAAAGCTCTGGTTAGATTGATGTGCTGGGAGAAGTAAACTGTACCATGTATAGAATTGGCACAGAGTACCCTGACACTCCCCCTCCCCCAAACACGGGGAAGCCGGGAGACAGACTTAGTGGACTATAAATCACTACAGTGGAATAGCTACAGCACTGCAGGTATGCCACTCTAGCACTTCAGGGTAGACACTACAGCACAGGGAAGGTCTTCATCTCACGGTAGTTAATCCATCTCCCCAAGAGGCGGTAGCTAGGCCGATGAAAGAATTCTTCCATCAACCTAGTGCTGGCTACACTGAGGGTTAGGTTAGGTACATCTCTCAGGTATGGATTTTTCACATCCTTGAGAGACACAACCATGCCGATGTAATTTTTCAGTATAGACCAGGCTTAAGTCTTCAGCCTTCTGGTTTGATTTAGGGGCAGGGCAATAACATACTGCCCAAAGCTTGTAGGTGCAGGGCAAAGCCCTGTGTACCACACTAGAATAATAGAAAATGTGTGGTGTGGCTGAGCTGGAATTGGTATGGAAGCTCTAACTTTAACTTCCTGATTCTTGTGTGTAATCTCAAATTTACCATTCACATAGTATTTTTTTTCCATTTAAAAAGATTGTCAGGCTTCTGACCCATAGCAGATTATGAATCATATGGTTCTTATTGACTTTGCAACTAAATTTGTTCAGTCCTCACAAGGTGACTGATACAGTATTTGACCTTGTTGCATACATTACAAAAGGAAACATAGCTAGGGGAGCATATGCTTTTT